AAAAAAAAAAACACACTTTTGGGCCCAACCGGAATTCCGGTTGGACCACCGCGGGTCCAACCGGCCGGTTGCCAACACAGCCCTGCTTCTCAAAGGCTTGAACACTTCCGGGGTCCTCAAACACACACACACACACACACACAAAGAGGTGCATGCCATTTGGTGCCTGGCGCTATCTATCTATCTATCTATTGAACAATCCGACAATCTAACCCTATTCTTTAAAAACTTTTCGGCTGCGGGTGTGTTTCCTCGGCGCAACTCGCTTCGGCACATGTGCATTTTTTTCCGCCTCACACACAGAGACGTACGATAAGGGAAATGAAGATCGATGAAGTTGCGCATTTCAGGGCACAGCTCCCGCGTCCTGGTGTCAGACGAGAAGTTAGCTTTTCATTTTCTTTGATTTTCATTTTCTTTCTTTTTCACTGCATTTTATTTTTTTAACTCTCATGCTGCTGCAACTATTGCAACTGTTGCTCATCTGGCAAAAAAAAAAAAACACTCATGTGAGAGTCTACTTTCCACCTCAAGCTCTTGCAACTGTTGCTCATCTGGCAAGGAAAGTTGAGATCCTATTACTGGTGCAGCCGGAGGATGCCCAATGTTGCACGTGGGACATGACCTGAAAGCTAGGCTACAAGCCGGGTCGCCCGGGTCCCGGGTGGCCAGCCCGTGCAAGGACAAGGGAAGGTCCCAGCAAAAAAAAAAAAAAAAAAAAAAAAAAATCCGGAAAAAGAATATGTTATGCAAAAAAATAAACTGAACAGCTTTTGCCTCAGGGTCACATCGAAATTCCTTACCAAATTTAAAATATAAATTAAAATTTTAAAATAATTTATTTATTTTTAGTTTTTAATTTTGTTTTTGGCCCGGCCGGGCAAGTGACCCCGGGCCACTCTGGTAGCCTAACCTGAAAGGATGTGGCGGGTAATGTCTGCATGTGTTATCCCGCCTTCTTAGGCCTGGCACTAGCCCCTGTTGCCGTGTTTGTAACCTGTGCAGCTGGTACTGCCCCACTAGTCTACAAGTAGGCTGGGGGTACGTTGGCCCAAGCTGGCCGAGAGTAGGTAGCACTGGGTAGGTAGGCAGATGACGACAAAATAGGACTTTGGGTAGGCCGAGGTTTTTCCCGAGTGCCGGTAGGCCTAGGAGAGAAATCAGGAAGGTGTCGGCCGTATACAGTCCGGAAAAGAGTCTAGGCCCAGGTCCTGTAGGTAGGGTAGCAGTCTGCAGGACTTCAACACCGAAATGAGTAGGAACCCGTAGGACCTGGGGGCCGGGTAGGCTGGAAGTCGTTAGATTGCCACCGCATACTTTGAAACCTATTGTTGCTGGAAGCCAGCCACCAAAGTAAATAACAAGCGGAGCCGTGAGTTGCTCCACCTCTTTCTTCAATTTGCGATAGACTCACTGCTGGGCAGGGAGCATCGCTGAAGCAGCACTAAGCAGCATCTCAGAGGAGGAATGGAGAAGAGAGAGGAACAAGAGGGAGGAACAAAAGAGGGATGAGGAAGGAGGAAGAGGAAGGTGAAGGAGAAGAGTGAAGGAGGAGACATACATTGGCTATGGTCAACCTGCATCTTCATCATATTTGTTGGCGCTGCACCAGGAAGGCCCCAAAGGGAGTTGAAGTGAACATGGTGTAGTGAAGAGGGGAAGGATATGAGAGCATTTGTGTGGTCCTTGGATGACCTTGGATGTTCCACCGTAGCTGGTAGGGATCCAGAGTGTAGAGGGAGGTACAGGAGAATCAATTGAGCTCCTTTGACATGCTGGCAGTGAGGAGATTTGTTGGACACTGGATTCTAGCTTCTTTATTGATTGTTATCGCTAATTGTTACTAACAAGATGTTAGTGGAGATGATGAGGGAGAGAGGGGGCTAGAGGAGGTAGAAGCGACATCGATTCTAGATTGTGTTTGTCTTCTTCTTCTTCTTCTTCTTCTTCTTCTTCTTGTATTCTCCATTCCTCTTCCACGCCTCTTCATGAAATTTTGCATTGACAATCATACCATACACATGTAAACAGCTAATAAGCACATCGCAACAAAGATACAAATGTAAACAGTTCATTATCACATCCCTACAAGCATCAGCGAGTGGTTAATTGAGAAAGAGACAATTTAGACATGAACATGTTTTCACAGTCAAATGACTCCCTCGATATTGCAACCATATCCAAGAACACCCTCCATGGTTCAATATTTGTCGCACGCATGTCCTCACCATCACGAGTCGCTGGTGCTGCCGTGTCCTCAATGCTACTTCCTGCAGGCGGCGACTCGGCGATTTGATCAGCCAATTCCCTCAGCATCTCACCCGCCACGGCCTCCTCCTCGTCAGCCATTTCAGCCTGCTTATACTCTGAACACTTGTCTTTGCCCAGGAACTCCTCTTGATCACCTGCACGGACAGGCCAACCGCATAACAGACAGAATAAGACCGGAAACGCATCTCAACCTATGACTAATCACCCTGACCAGCTTGAAAAGATATTGAGCATCTTTTTTGTGTTAATCAACACACGAAGGCACAGCGCTCGCGTCAGAAGGGATAAGGGAACGTGGTTAATAGGTGGGAGGGTAGCAACACAGAGAATGGTGTGTATAGCAGTCATAAGTAAAGTTGTGGAACAGAGCAGAAAAAAAATTATTGAGTGCAGAAAAAATTTTGCTCTGAGAGTTACATACTATTTGATATAAACCTAGGTTACCGCCTGTCCGATGGGAGACGTCTCCACCAAATGTCTCCGTCGGACGTTGTGCGGGATCCCAGACAACTCATTTTCTGCCAATTTAAAAGCAGAAAAGAAAACAAAGGGCTCCACACACCACACAGAGACCCCATGAAAAAAACCTTTTGGCTCATTTGGACCCAAAAAAAAAGAAAGATGGGGAAATGGGGGGTCCGGGGGAGAATGGGTGGAGGGTCCACTGCTGCACATGCAGCGCCTGCCATAGTATATGCAGCTGCTGCTGCAACGGGTGCAGCAGGTGCAGCATCTGCACCATCTGCTGCAGAAGATGCAGCAGGTGCAGTAGCAGCTGCAGCTGCAGCATCTGCAGCAGCTGGGTCATCCGCAGCATTCACCCAGCAGCAGACGCAGCAGCTGCTGCAGGTGCACCAAATGCTGCATCTGCTGCATCTGCTGCTTCTGCTGCATCAGGGGCTGCAGCTGCAGATGCAGCACATACAGCAGCTGCTGCGTCTGCTGCTCGGTGACTGCTGCAGATACTGCAGATGACCCAGCTGCTGCAGATACAGCAGATGCTGCAGCAGAAATGCACGCGAGGCAGGGGGTCCTCCAGAGGCAAATTTTGAAATTCAAAAAGGCACAATCATCTTCAAGATCTGATGGCCCGGATTGGGCCTTTTTTAATTTCAAGTTTTGAGGTCCTACCAGCCTCAAATAAATTGTGTCCTGGGCCTGGTCCGCCAACCCGCAACCTCCGAAACGCGTCGAGGCCCCAAAACCGCCACCCCCCCCCCCCCTCCTCTCCTTTTTTCTCACGGGGCGGACGAGTCATCCTGGGGCTACGTCCCCAGAATTGTCCAAACCAACAACTCGGACAACC